ATTATTTGTCTTAATTATGGTGATGTCCAGAAAGTTCAATTTGTTGTAGCCTTTTTCCATGGTGAATTGTAGGCGAGGATGATAAGAATTAAAAAGATTGAGGACTAAGTCAAAGCTATCGGCAGGAACCATTAGAGCTATATCATCGACATAACGAACGTAGAAAGGAGACTGGAAGTGTAAAGAATTAATGATGTTCTGTTCGAGGTCTTGTGCATAACAAAAAAAATCTCTCTACCTAAAAAAACTCACTTATTTTGCTAAAAACCGCGACAAACCAATATTGAATAATAATTCTAATTCTTATTACACACATCCATCTCACACTTTCTCCTTTTCACTTTCTTTTCAAACTACACATACAATAAACATCCAAATTGAACACAAATCTCCAACCAAAACATTACTTGAGCATAAGAGAAATTGGTTCATTAATCTCACCAGCACTCCTATTCCTGATAAAGTTGTTGGTTTATTACAACATGGTGAAAATTTTAGCCTTCCCACCAACAATAATTCTAAATTAACATTCGAAATGATCAAAAATTTTGAATATAATATTAAACATTTAGACAACAACAAAAAAATTGACAGTCGTAACCGTTTTATCCCTATGCTCAAACAATTGAGAGATTCAAAAAATATTGTTACTAATTCATTACATAACATTGAAATTAACAATGCTCTTAAATTGACTAACTCATTTGTTAAACACCATCCTTCTATTATCTACACTAGAGCAGACAAAGGGAACACTGTAGTCGCGATGGACAAAGCTGAATATACTCACGATATGGAGAATTTATTATTGGACGTTAACACTTATGCCCCGATTAAAAAGAATCCGGTAAATTCTATACTAACTTCGTTAAAAACTTTGTTAAAAAAATGGAGGTCTCACAATTATATCTCGGACATCTCTCACTGTAATTTAAACTCTTCTTTACCTATCCTCCCTAGGGCTTATGGTGTGCCAAAGATCCACAAAGCCGGTAACCCACTTAGAATAATTATTTCTTCAATTAATAGTCCGTTACACCTTGCTTTTTTCTTACACAAGATCATTTCCAAAAGTATTCTACCTCCTAAAAGTTTAGTGTTCAATAGTTTTCACCTTTCAAAGATAATTTCTGGTGTAAAATTTGAGCAATCTTTTGAACTAATTTCTCTCGATGTTACATCTTTGTTTTCCAATATTCCACTGGATTTAGTAATTAGTGGTTTNGAGACAAGATGGCATCTCATAAGCAAAGAAACGTCTTTACCTAAACAAGAATTTTTTACCGCTATCAAATTCGTATACAATTCAACTTTTTTTATTTTCAATAACCATTTTTACCGACAGACCTTTGGCGCACCGATGGGTTCACCTCTTTCCCCCATTTTAGCTGATATTGTTATGCACAAGACCTCGAACAGAACATCATTAATTCTTTACACTTCCAGTCTCCTTTCTACGTTCGTTATGTCGATGATATAGCTCTAATGATTCCTGCCGATAGCTTTGACTTAGTCCTCAATCTTTTTAATTCTTATCATCCTCGCCTACAATTCACCATGGAAAAAGGCTACAACAAATTGAACTTTCTGGACATCACCATAATTAAGACAAATAATTCTTTGATACATGACTGGTATCACAAGCCAACTTTTTCTGGCAGATACCTCAATTTCCATTCTAAT